ACCTTAGGAATGTCTCCATACAAAGCAATCTTCGGCCGTCAATACCCTCTCCTTCCCACAACACTATTTAAGAACTCCTCAGTCCCCGCCTCTGATGACTACCTAAACCACCATCAAGCTATTCGAAATAATGCCTTCTAAGCTGTTAAAGCTGCCCAATTCTGAAGCACCACTACTGCTCAGAAGCAACGACGCAAACATGTCCCTATTCCGCCAGGTGATATGTTCATGGTACATGGTAACATGTTTATTACCAATGTTGGATGCAGCAAGAAATTACAACCCCGATGGCGAGGACCTTTCAAAGTCCTATCTTTTGACGAGCATACAGAAAACTACACTGACCAGATGGATGGACGCATGTACCGCCGCAATACTGCAGTCTTCCATGCTTCTGCTGTCAAGCGATTCCACCCAAATGACGACTCCAAGTTCCCTGGAAGAACCCACTCTCGACCTGAACCTATCATCATTGACAAGAAAGATGAATGGGAAGTTGAAGAAATCAGAGACCATCGCCTTTGGCATGGAAATGATCAGTTCCTAGTCAAATGGAAATGATATCTGGCGAGTGAGAACAGCTGGGAGCCACTAGAAGGACTAGAGCACGCTATGGATATGGTGAATGAGTGGTGGAAAAACAATATGCCAAACGAATCCCTCCCCCCAACGATCAATTACATCACCATGTGCTGGACACCGACAATGCCAGAAACTGAGCGATGGCATGCAGAACTCAAAACCAGGGATGGGTTTTGGGCACCATACTTTGAGTCGGAATTAGAAAGCAGCGATGATGAAAATCAAGCTATGGAGCAGGCTCTCGAAAACCTTATCTGATCACCAATCACCATACAAATACTATAACGATGTCAAACTATGTAGAACTCAATGTGAGGCTGCGATAACAGATTGTTGGACTGTTGTTGAACTGCGATATTATCCAACTTGAAGACTACTTCGAAATCCTCTGGATAGATTACTGCCCTGATTGTGACCATGCTTGGGTTGATGTATAGCGCGAATCTGGTATTCGTGACTACTGTGATTTACATTTCTTTGAGTCTAAGTGTTTTCTTAAGATTTCTTCCTGTCCCTGGTGTGACACTTATGATGAACAGTTCTTAGCGGAAACTGAAGCTTTTAGTTTCTCAGAGTCTGCTTTTGATGATTATTAGGTTTTGTTTGTTTAAAACAGTTATTTTGTTTTGGGGAATGTAACCGGTACGGGTACTCAGTTATTGGTTTTGTTTTATGTTTTGTTTTAAGTATCGCTTTGATACTTGGTTTGTTTTAAGTATCGTTTAATACTTGGTTTTGTTTTATGTTTTGTTTTAAGTATTGTTTGATACTGTCACAAACATGGCTTAGCATGGAAAAGGTTTTCACGTGACACATGGGTATGAGTCACAGGTACGTTATTGTTCCGCGCATATAACTCATTCGGGTTATGTGAGTTGTTATGTGTGGGATTTGTGATGCTTTCGCACCTGGCTCAAGTATGAGTCATAGGACGTGCGCCTGATGAGTATGCCTTACGAGGGTGCCTTACGGGTAAGCCTTGCGCATATGATTTATGTTTCGCACATGACCTCATTATGAGGTCGTGGGTTTCGCACATATGACTCAGTCAAGTCATATGACTTGTTTATTGTGTTATGATTGGTTTATGAGTTTTGCACATGACCTCGCTATGAGGTCATGGGTTTTGAGCATGTGATCACTTTGGTCACATGATTAGTTTGTTATGATTTGGTTTCGCACATGTGACCACTTTAAGTCACATGACTAAAGGCGGGAAGAACATTATATAAGGAGGTCGATGCGGCCGAGGAAGATAGGTTCTTCACGCTTTGTTCTAAGTACTTTTCCTACTTATTACTTTAACGAATATAAAACACCTTTACGATCTTTATCTTTATTACAACGTTATCATTGCGCTAAGGAAGTCCTTCAAGAAGACAAGTTAGAGAAAGCTTACAATAGGCGTTCCCGATAGAAGACAAAGGTCTTGTACTATCGGTAACGTAGGTAAAGGCCTATAGCTATCGTAAGACAAAGAAAGAAGAAGACAGAAAAGATAAGTATCGTTTCCCGTCGCCAAGAACTAACTATCCAGAGGAGGATAGTTACAGATACTTGGTTTTGTTTTATGTTTTGTTTTAAGTATCGCTTTGATACTTGGTTTGTTTTAAGTATCGTTTGATACTTGGTTTTGTTTTATATTTTGTTTTAAGTATCGCTTTGATACTTGGTTTGTTTCACCAAAGTGTATCGATTGATACCTTTGACTAGTTTCGTTCATGCTAGACATAAACAGATTTGTGTATTTAAAGACCGCCTGTTTCTACGATAGACAGTATTTCAATATACTTGGTTGAACAGTTACTCCTTTGTTCCTCAGTACGCCCTCGAAGCCTCCTTTAGTTCTCAGCTCTCGCCTCCTCTCCGGAAGAGCACACACCTGCCAACTATCGTATTCATTACCGATAACGTGAGTAGCATCTAGCGAACACGTTACACCAACCCTCACTGAACAAAAATAGGCACTCTACGGAACATAGGAGAAAGTGCCAAGTGCTAGAGGAGGATCAATTCCTTTTGCCACCAAGATAGTAAATTTAGAGCCCTCCATAATAGTTAAACTATGAGCAATTATTTTCCATCCCTCATCCACCGAGACAACAATAGGAGCTAGCATAAAAGAATAAAAAGAAATTGACAAATGGGGCCATTTGATTCTATTTTAATTGTCCCACCTAGTTAATTTCCCCATTCTGGTTGAGTTTTTACCTTTCAAAATCGCTGTTCCAACCTCCTAAAAAATTAAGAGTCAAGTTTCTTAGTGTACTTCTTTTTCGCCCCTCTCCCAGAAGAGGAAATATTGGACTACAGCGCACATGGTCCGGTCTGCGGTATGAGAGTAATCTTGAAGTTAAGGCAGGGTAACTAGGGTAAGGTTGACCTCAGTTCAGTTTCTTGGCGTTCTCCGAGTTTCATATTTGGCAACATCCCTAGCATCCTTCCCCAACACACACCTCTTCTCAACTCAATCCGCTACTTCTCAATTCAAAGCCACGACTGAACCAGTGCTTACCACAAAGATATACAATGCCTTCCCCAAATCGTTCTGCCCTCCAAAATACTCGTTTTTATGATGCTTCTGATCCGGCGGTGGTTCTCGGAGGCCTCCACCAAAACGGTTCTATAACTGAAGCAAACTTTCTTTCTATGCTCGAGATTCTCCTTGCTACCAACGGGAAACCTGTGCGTGTTCAGGCAAGGATTTCAGGCCATATTGTGACTCAAAGCAACATGTCCCTTGCAATTGGAGATTACAATATTTACAGTGATGGTATGTACCAAACCAGGATGTCGGAAATGTTTCGGCCGCTAATCCCACCGAAATTCTGCGGGCCGCGTCTGCTGTGCAGATGTTTGGTAGAAAGTTCAATCGCTAATTTTGGCAGATCCTATCCAAGTTACCAATGAGCCTTGGATACAGCGGCTCTCTTCTCTCAACGCCGTCAGCATGGGGACCAGATTCTGCGATGAAATCCGTGCTCGTGATAAGAAATGTGTTATCTCAGGCGCTGCCTACTCCGACGCTTTTGTTCAGTTGGGAATATAGACTGGTTTGGAAGCTACCTATATCTTCCCCCTTGAGCAGGAAAGTCAATGGATTCAGCTTGGCTTTGCACGATGGATTACCGACATTGATGATTCTACGGGATCCTCGAAGATTGACTCTGCTCAAAATGGGTTTCTTCTCAATGAGTGTGCCCAAGCTCTGTTCAATTGTTACATGATATCTGTTAACCCGGATGACGGGTACAAGGTTGTTGTATTTGGCCCCGATCTTTTGGGATATAATGGTAGGGTTCTTGATCCCGTGTGCAGAAACCCAGCCGATCCCCACCGTGTGTCCGACCAACTGCTCAGGTGGCATTTCCGCCAATCCGTCCTTGCCAATATGAGAGGGGAAGGGGGACCATTATTCGAGTACAATTTTGACCATGGAACCGATATTCTGGGTGAAACTCTTGCAGGCCCGTATGAGAAAGAGAGATTTGAGTTGGAGATGGCTGTGCGATTGAGGGAGGTGTGTTTCCAACTTTTCTTCCCTGCCACCTTTGGAGGATGCTTGGCAAGCTAATACTGCAATTAGTTTCACAAGCGCGAGCAAGAAGCAATTCACCCCTGTCCCGGCTGTGATAGAATATTTACCTCCATCTCTGGAGTCACCAAGCACATTGAATCCAAACAGTGCGAGGGCAAGATCTTAACCGAGCAGTCTTGCAGGATCATCAATAATGAAAACCACCCTTTTGACAGGAGGGATCTCCCTAAGCACCCCCCCCGCCGGTAGTTCTACAACTCACACCCGGCATGCTAGGATTCCTTCCCAGCATCATGAAACCACCCTTGCTGAGTTCCCTAACGGCCCCAAGCGCAAGGCACTCGTTCCGGAAAACTTCGGCGGTGTTCCCGATGCCACTCACCCTGTCAAACCGTACAGTACCACGATGGAGGACCTGAATGCGTGTTGGAATAAGGTGGCTGAAACCTATGTTTGTCCCCGCCCCAAGTGTGGGAAGAAATTTGCTTTTACTCCTGCCCTTAAAGTCCATCTTGAGGGTAACACCCATGATACGAAGCCTTTTAGACAATCCCTTCTCTATTCTATATACATACATATACATGCTAAGTGGTGGATAGCTGCCCTACCTGCTGTGACTTTTTTCTCTCCTCTTCGGCCCTCATACAGCATGCGGAGTCCAAATCCTGCGGGGTTAAATGTTCCCCGGCTTATCAGCAGCTCATACAGGGAGTCACTGGACTGGCAGATTAATTGGTGGAGACAAAATGGTAGAGTACAGAACTGGTTGGTAGGGGGCATGCGCGGAATAAATAGGGAAGAACAAAGTGGTATCAAATCTATAGTTGACCTGTCTGATAGGCTTGAGGGTGGAGGAAACTTTTTTCACTTTTGATACTCTATGACAACTTCCTTTGCTTGTGTTATTACTTGCATTTTGGGAGCCCAACTCGCTGTTTCCAAATCACAAAATAAAACTCTTGAAATTCCTACGCTTTTGCCGTGAGATGTGTCTCGAGTGATCTTTTGTGATTATGTTAGCTGATGACGAGTGGGGAACAACCGGAGATGCTTTCAATCGCGCGCCAACATGAGAGAAGGATGAGAGAAGGGCTACAAGAGAGGATGTGAATAATCTTTAGCGCTATAGGGGGAATCCCCTCTTCATGGCCCACTAATAATCTCTCACAGGCATTCCTCACCAGCTCACAGCTGTGTATCCTCCATATAATAAACAAGCGGTAATACTACTACGATTATCATGAGTCCTATTTCACATAGAATGAACCAAGCAATCCCAGAACCTCAGGAGTGAGAAGAGAACCTTTAGTGGCAGAGCGGGCCTAATCACGGGTCTTGAGCGATATTTGCAAATATGCTAGAGTATCAATTTAACAAGTAAGTTCGAAATCCCAAACCTCACATAACGAGGCCTGACTCCAGAATTTGGAAGCCACGCGTCATCGAGAAAATCTTTTTGTCTGCTTAAACCTCTCCCATCTTTCTACCACACAGTCTTTCTCTACTCAAACCTCCTCTCCACCACCCTCTTTTCGATTCACCACCTTCACCACCCAGAATTGCTACCGACTGAGCCAGTGCTTACCGTAAGGATATATAATGCCACCGAGTCGTTCCAGAATCCGCAATATTCGTTTTTACGATGCTTCCGATCCCACGGTGGTTCTTGGAGGCTTTTATCAAAACGGTTCTATAACTGAAGCAAACATTCTCTCTATCCTCGAAATTTTCATTGAGGCTGAGGGGAAGTCTTTGCGTGTTCAGGCAAGGGGTTCAGATCATATTGTGACTCAAAGCGACCTGTCCCTTGCAATTGGAGATTACGACTTATATTGTAATGGTATGTACCGTGTGACGGGTCTGACAAGGGCCAAATTCGCCTGACATTTGACTACCCCTATAGTATACTTATTTGGTAGAAACTATAATGACTAATTATGTCAGGTCCTATTCGGGTTAACCAGGAGCTTTTGTTCAACCAGCATCGGTCGAACGCGAGGTCAGCCCGGCAGACCAGATTTATGAAGGAAATCCGTGCTCGTGATGCGAAATGTGTCATCTCAGGCATTGCCATGACAGAGGATTTAATGAAAATTCAGGAGTGGTGTTTCTTTGAAGCAGCCCATATCTTCCCAGTTCAATAGGAGAGTCTTTAGGTTAAGTTCAGATTTTCGCATTTCATAACGGACATGGATGATGATAACACTGGATCCACAAAGATCCACTCATGCCAAAATGGGCTTCTTCTCAACAAAGTCGCTCATTCAATGTTTGATCGATACATGCTCTCTGTTAATGTCGACGACGCGTACAAGGTCGTTGTGTTTGCCGATGATATTTTTGGATATCATGGTGGGTTCTTCATCCAGCATGCCGAAACCCAGACGATCCCCACCGTATATCCGACGGTCTCCTGAGATGGCATTTTCGCCAATTTGTCTTTTGCAATATGAGAGGAGCAGCAGAACCAACCTTTGAGGAAGATTTCTAACGAGAACTCGATAAAGTCTATGACATCCTTACAGTTCAGAACCAACCCGTGTGCGAGCCGGCTAGGAGTCAGGATGGGGGACAAGGTGACTATTTCATGGGTGAGAAGTATGATGTCCGTTTTTTGGGTGCCGAGGCTTTGCATCCCCATACGGGCCAAGGGGATAGTAGGAATGACCACAGGAGGCATTTTTACTGTGGGAAGTGCAGGGTTCACTGCGAGGATGAGGGGGAGTTGAAAGTGCACCAGATGGAGGATTCCGAGCATCTGGTTCGTCGCGCATGTTCTCGGGAGTTTGGGGTTGAGGGGAGCTTGAGCTTCATCAGAATCATGCGTGTTTCCAACTCTTCTTCCCTTCCACTGTTGGAGGATATTTGGCACGCTAATACTACAATTTGTTTTACAACCACCATCCAGGAGCAGTTTACCCGTGTCCCGGCTGTGATAGCATGTTTGCCTCCATCTCTGGAGCCACACAGCACATCGAATCAGGACAGTGCGAGGGCATGATCTTAGCCGAAGAGTTTAGCCAGCTCACGAATTATGAGAACAACCTCCTTGCTGAGAGGGATCACACCTGGCGTGCGGGGATTCTTCCCCCAGGTGGTAAAACCACCATTGCTGAAACCCCCAATGGTTTTAAGTCCATGGAACGCGTACTAAAGAACCTCGTTGGTGTTCTCGACTACACTCTCCCTGCCGAAGCAGACAGTGGCCCGCTGGAGAACCTGTATGCGTATTGGAATAAGATGCTTGAAGCCTTTGTCTGTCCCTGTCCTAAGTGTGGGAAGAGATTCGTTCGTACTCCTGCACTTAAAGCCCACCATGAGAGCAACACTCATGACATGAAGTCCTTTCGGTAATCCCTTCTCTATTCTATCTACATACTGTAAATGATAATCGGTTGGTAGTTGACCTACCTGCCATGACTGTTTTATCCCCTCACACAACACACGGAGTCAGAACCCTGCGGTGTTACACATTCCCCGGCTTATCAGCAGCTCATAGAGAGCTACCGGCGGATTGATTGGTGGAGATAAAATGGTGAAGTCCAAAATCGGTTTGTAGGAGGCGTGCGCGAAATAAATTGTGGCGAACAACAAGGTGGTATCACATCTATAGTTGACCTATCTGGCAATCATGAGGCTGGAGGAACATTTTTCACCTTTAATACCCTCTGTCAACTTCGGTTGCTTGCATTATTACCCGACTCGTTGTTACTAAAATTACAATATAAAACTCTTGAAATTCCAACGCTTTTGCAGTGAGATGGGTCTCGAGTGATCTTTCGTGATTATGCTTGTTAATGAAGGGCAGGGAACAGCCGAAGGTGCTGTTGATCACTCGCCAACAGGAGAGAAGGGCTACGAGGGAATGCGAAAGAGTTTCATCTCCATAAGGGGAATCCCCTCTTCATAGCAGTCCGCCAATTTTCTCTTATAGACTTGCCTTACTGAAAGAACCTCCCAATCACCCTCTCCAGTTCCCATCCATGCCAAGAAACACCATCCAAGGGCGATAGAACAACATCTACACAAACTCGCGCCCGACTATTCCACATGGATCCCGAATGATAATCATACTGCTAATGTTCGTTATGGGGCCTCTGGCCCACGAGAAACACGGACCCCCAGCCCCATTCCCCGCCCCGGCCCGCTCACCGGCCTGGGGTGGAGAGTTTTGTCAAGCTTTTCCCGCACTGTCACCCGGAAGGGGCCCCGCCCTACCCAGGCCCCAGACGGCCCCCATCAAATTTGGGTGGGAAGAAACATGGCCCCGTCCAGGGAAAGACCAGCATCAGACGCCAGACGGGGGCGGGGCGGGGGGGAACTACAAATTATCCCCTCGGGCCCGCATAACGGCGGGGTTCCAGAGTGACAAACCCACCCTGCCCCGCTATTAGGCAGAAGCCAACTCTAATATGCATATAGTACGGCTTAGGTCCTGATAGTGTTCGTTTCGGGGCCTCCCCGGTCCCAAAACCCATGGGCCCCCGGCCCAGTTCCCTGATAGATGTTGATCGATCGGTTAGGCACGGAAGAAAATGCTGTTGGTCTTGATGAAGTATTGTTCGTTCTATTCAACTGTGGAGAGAAACTTCCTGCTAGTTACAGATAAACCTGACAGATGCGCAAGGCATTGTCTACACACAAGTCAGGGTTATGCCCACTTTGATACCACCCCAAATCCATCCCTAAAGATACTAGACCTAACTTCCTTCTCGTATACCATAACACGACAATGGGATTACTCCATCATATCGAACCGCGTTGCTTTTTTTTTGGAGGAATTACCTGGCCAATTGTAACGGAGGTTCCAACGGAAATGTTTCCTGTTACGTCCCCCTCTTTTGGGTCCCGCAAACCCCCCTACTGAAATTCCCTATGCACCCTTTCCTCCACTGGCTCTGCTACGCAACCATCCCACGATAGATCTCCCACAAAATATCCACCATGATTCCCCACAAATTCTCACCACCACAAATTCCTTACAGGATGAAGATGCCGACTTCTTTTCCGAAGGCTGATAGGCTGATACCTCTTGCTTGGGAGCGCGTACGTCGTTTCTCGCCCTCCTCATCGTAGAGCGTGGAGAAAGGGGAGGGTCCCAAACGTAGGGTTAGTCTCCTCCCTGGACTTTGACTTTGTGTGCGCCGGCATTCAATCGCTATGTATGGTATTATTGCTAGTGCGAGTACAAGGAACGCCACACTGCCGATAATGGGGCCGAGGACTGAAATGTCTACGGGAGTTGAGTTTGTTGGCGTGCTGTCGGTGTAGAATATTGGTACTGGAAGCGGGGGTCAATTTGCTCCTCCGGGCGGGGGAGGGTACGGCCGAGAGTTTTTAGACAGCTGACTTTCCGGAGCAGAACTCATGACACTGCAGTCACAGGCTATCACTCTTGTCAAACGAAACGCCAAGACCAGGCAGAGATGAAAAAGCTGGGTAAGAAAAACCTTTCACCCCCGCGGACGGACACTTTCCCTTCACAACTTGCACGCTCGATCACTATCTTTATTGTACCGCTCTCTTTCGCACTTCTCGCAACTAACAAACACATTAACGTAGGTGGAAAAGACGGTAGTATAAATGAAGGACAAAAAGGAATCTTCCAATCCTTCCTACCGCTTTCCCTACTCCCCCACTCTCATCCACGCAAGTCCCCCATTCCGCTTCCTTTGCTAACAAAAGAGATACAGGAAAACACACAAACACTCGAGCTCACATTCACACTCATCCCAGTAAGCCCTTTTCCTCCTCCGCGCGTTTCCTTGCTAACAGAGAAAAATACAACAAAGACTCCTACAGCCATACCGCTCCCATAGCCGTACGGCTTTCTCTCCCCCGGTCGTATACCTCCCCCCCCACCTCCGTATACCTCCCACACATGCCATACGGCGAACGAGCAAGCAAACAAAGGGACCGGCGAGTGAACGGGCGGCGAACGAATGGGTAGCCGTATGGGTGGGTGAAGGAATGAGCAAATGAACA